TAAGGTAATTGGTTATAACATAAAACCAATTTCTGAAGATTATTTTGCTGTTTGCTTATATTTTCTTGATTACTAAATTTCTCAAGTAGGCGACATGTGTTATGATACACTTATTTATTTTTGCCATCATAAGACCTTAATTCCTGACTTATCTAAATCAATCTGCTTCTTTATCAGTGCCTTTAGTTGATCGTTTAAAGCCTATTTTGGCTTTCTTTTAACTTCGAAAGTGTCTTCTCTTCCTCCGACTGTTAAATTATAAATACTTACCTTTAAAATATGTTCAAAAATTTTAGTATTTTCACTAGTCTTTTAGCACTGCCTCTTATACTGTCATCAGTGTGTCATAGCAGTAGCCTAAGCTTTAGTAAGATACAAAGAATGATACAAAGAATTATTTATAGATTGCCATCTTTTTTGAAGTCAAAAATGGCTTTTTCTCTGTTTACATTTTTAGTGTTGATAGTTTCACAGCAGTAAACTGAACAAATTCTATCCATTTATTTCCAAACAAAACTGACAAAGGACTAATTTGAGTCTTCAAAGGAGATACGTTTCAGAGCTGCCTAACGATACCCTGGCGGCAAGTCAGTCACAGGAGGCGCCACGTTGTTTCCTTTGATCAAAGTTGCTACAGTAATTCTAATCAGCTAAAGCACAAAAAAGTTATAAAGAACAAAAATGGCAAAAAAAGAGTGGAAATACAAAGCTTGAAAGTACCAAAAAAAGACAATTAAAACAAAAAAAAAAATAGAACTACGTACCACATGAATTACCCTAGTGTCAACAATGGAAGTAATAGTGATTATTTAACCCCTCCTAGCAGTAAAGCTCTTCTATTACTATGAACAATTTTTGCTTTCTCTGCCACTATTGTTGGAGACGAATTTGGAAAACGACTTTGAAACCTGCGCATAGAAAGAAATCGAAAAAAAGCCGACGAGGAAAGGTTAAAAAGACTGAATTTTTCAAACCTCTACAAAAAAAACGAGTGTTACATTTTCCAATGTTACATTTTCTGGTATTCTCTTCAAAAAGTATTTTTTTTTTAGATTTTACGTTCTTCTAAAAAACTCTAAGCCTACAATCCAAATAACCGCCCCCATACAGCACTTTTTTGGCGATTAAAGCTAAACAGTTTGTATGCGACCTCAGCACTGCTCCAATAACAAATTTCACCACTCTGCACTTTGCTCCTAAAATATAGCCATATATTCCAACTTTAAGTGATCTAAATAAGCTTTAGAATTTAATGTTGTGGTACGTGCTTTGATTAGCTGACAACGCTGTGAAAGCATCAAAGATCTCGTATCAAAGTTCAGTGTTCTTGCCGTTATCATTCTGTATTATGTGCAGACAGCCCGATTCCCGCAGTCATTCAGACAAGTCAACTTCCTGGACAACAGTAATAACAGCAAAATTGCTACAGAATGAAAAAACCAGAAACTTCAGGCTTCCACCCTCTGCAGCGAAATCTGCCTGACATGTAGATCAGAAACTGCATATATACTTCCAAATGTAACTTTTCAAGCAGCTTGCAGATGCTGTGTGCCTAATCAAAACTTCATCCTTTCCAATTAGCAGAAACCCAGATTTTTGTACCTTCAATATGATAAAAAAAACAATTTCTATACATTTTTTAATAAATTAAATTTTTTTCAGAGAGAAAAAACAACAATAATTGAAGTTTAGTAAACAATCCGAACACAGTTTTAACAAAAAAATTTAAGCACTTAAGAAAACAAAAAAAAAAAAAAAAAAAAAAAAA